GGGGGCTGCCTTTGCCCTGCCCCTAGCCATGATCGGAGAATCGGGCGCCTTTGCCGCCCTGGCCAGTGATAGCAGGAAATAGGGGTGGAGCCAGCGATGGGAGCTGGGCACGGTCGAAGCTGGCAGTCCTGGGAGCTAGGGTCCCTTGCCAGGGCCTAAAGCGGAGCCCTCGATTGCGGGGCCGCTGCAGCTGCGGGTCCCCGCTGCCCAGGCCGGACGCCTCAGCCAGAGGCGTTAGGCCTGGGCAGGGGTGGAGCCTGCAACCGCGGGGAGCTGGGGGTCCCCTGCCCAGGCCTGACACCTCTGCCGGAGGCCTCAGGCCTAGTCAAGGGGCCGATCCTGCAATTGGAGGGTGATGGGGGTCAATGCCTGAGGGCTCCCAGTATGTGAGAGGGGGCAGGCTGGGCTGAGGGACACTCCCCCCGCACACACACCCAGTGCACGAATTTCGTGCACCAGGCCCCTAGTAAATATATATGTTTCTTAAAAGAGGAACCCGACTTATTTTACCCCGAGCTGTGCTGCCAACTTCTATGGGGGCACGTCTCACATTCGAACAGCATGGGGACCCCCGCCCGAAGGAAACGACCCCCTCACTGACCGCAAAGCCCACCCTCGGGCCTTGGAGGCGGGCAGAGCCAGCGGTTCACGCCTCGGGCTGCTGGAGGCGACCATCACCCTCGGAGAGGGACACCCCAACATCACGCCCATGAAGGCTGGATTCCCGACCCTTCGAGGCAGGGCTCTCTGAGGTGACAGCCCTGGGCACAGCCTGAGAACCACCGGGAGGCAAGGGGACAGGCAGTGGGGGGGTCCACCTAGCCCCCCGAAGGAAAGTGCTCCTGAGCGCCTGGCGCAGCAATACACACACAGACGAGACTGAACGGGCTCCGTGCGGCTTTCCTTCTCACACTTTAACCAAAAACAAGTGTCAAGTCGAACGCAAAGCTCTCATCAGTGAGTCTCCAACGCTCCGCTCGCTGGTTTGCAGGGGCGCCTCCCACGCTGGCGGGCAGGATCCTGGCACCCCCAGTGGTAAGCCCCACCCAGCCCCACAGTGAAAACGAGCCCTGCTCACCATCAATATTTAGCATCATTTTCCAAAGAGAAGGGCGGACAGACTGATGGAAGCCGAACCACACTTCCCGGCCACCGCCCAGGGGGTTGGAGCAGCCCTCGGAGGCCGTGAAGAAGGAGCGGCCCACGGGCGTGTACCTGCAACCGAGACCCGGCTGAGTGCACGGCGGCGCCACCTCCCGGCGCCACCTCCCGCCCAGCGAGTTCAGGTGGCGACTGGGTGGGGACGTGACCACAGAATGAAGCAGAAGTCTCATCATGCCCGGCCCTGAGCCCCGACAGGCTCCCCCGGGGCCGCTCCGTCCTGCGGAGTGTGGGCACTATGCCCCTGACAAGTCCCAAGTGTGGAGGCCACAGGAGACGGTGGAACGGCAGCGCTCAGGCCCCGCAGAGCGGAAGCCGCAGCTGCGCCCCACGCGGGGACGGGGGAGGGGGGGCTGCTGGGCTGGGAATTCCCTGGAATCTCTTTCCCATTAAAAATGTCCCCCCCCCCCCCCCCCCCCCACACCCCGCCCGCCCGCACATTTCCATAAGGTCGTTCACTGCTGGGCTCGCAAGACGCAAACGCACACGACCGTCCCAGGGGACCGAGCCAGCTCCCTCAGACCGGGCGCAGACACCAGCTCCCCACGCCCACCGCGGCGGGCCTCACCTCATGGACGGCAGGTGCCTCATGACCACGTCGAGGGCCTGGATCGTCTCAAAGGGGACGCTGGGCAGCCGCCCCGAAAGTGCATCGTGTAACGCCTGCAAGCTCACGCAGGACACCCACTTGATGGACACCTTGAAGATGCGGTCTTTCCCTTCGCCCGGCAGCGTGACCTCCAGCTCCACCTGGGGGCCCAGAGCACACACAGGTCATCCACGCGGGCCTCCGCCCCACGTCAGAGGGGGTCACGCTCGGCCGGGGGTCGGGTCGGCTCCTCTGAGGAGCGCATCCCCGGAAGAGGCAGGGCGGCCTGCGGGGCCTGGGAGTTCTGTCCCCAGCGGAAACAACCGGCAAGCTCTGCAGGGACCGAATCACGAAGAGAAACCCTTCCCAGACGGACGTGTGGGTGTGGAATCCGACCTGCCCGCCGGCTCAGCAGTTGAGCGTTGACCTAGGAACCACTGATGCTTCTCTCTCCCTCCCTCCCTGAAACCAATATCCTACACTAATAAAAGAGAAAAATGGTAATTGGCGTACGAGCTACCCTTTTCATTGGCTAATCAGGGCTATATGCAAATTAACTGTCAACTAAGATTGGCAGTTAACTGCCAACAAGATGGCGGTTAATTTACATATGTAGGCACAATGCAGGGAGGCGAAAGGGAAAGCAGGAAGAAGCCCCCTGCCACTGACAGTGATCTGAAACCCAGGGGGGGAGCTAAGAGCTGGGGAGCATGATCAGAGAATCAGGGGCCTTTTCCGCCCTGGCCAGTGATAGCAGGAAGTAGGGGTGGAGCCAGTGCAGGGAGCTGGGCACGGTCGA